TTGGCTAGCTCAGCACAGTGGCACTTGCTTTATTGCTGCTTGTTAATGGAGGCCTAGTTTTGTCTCCAGGGCTTAGTGAGATCAGCATCTCTTTAGTACGCTCTTGAGTAAGGCTCAGAACTTCTCAGGTATCTTAACCGTGATTAATTTTAACTTCCTTGTGACGAGACATTGTTAATTCACAGGACATGTCAAAGCAAAGTCATGGCTTTCAAAATGAGTCTTCATATCGTGTAGCAGACTTTTAATTTAGAAACTGAATTTCAAGGCTAGTCTCCCTCACTCACTGGAGAAAGAGAGTTACTCTGACTAAACTCATGCTGGGAATCACGTGGGGGAGGTCTCTTCCTTCATGCTGAATAGGAAGCTGAAGGCCGCCTAGCTTCCTAATGTGAGCACTTAAGTCAGGTGTCTGAAGCTAAACACCATCAATACTGTATCAGAAATGGAGCAACATCTGCTTTAAGGTGCTCTCCTCCTGCATCTTCAAGCTTAGGGGAAAAAGCAATCTCCCCTGTGGCCCTGCCCTGCATAATAACAGTGAGTGTAGAAAAAGCTGGTATATAGCCTGTGCTGTATCATCTGCTCTCCCCTCCTGTGAGTACAGTCCCCTGCGGCTCCCCGAGATGTCCCTGACCTTGACACTTTCAGAGGCTGCCAGGCACGGACTCAACCCTATGGCGTTGTGATGGGGATTTGAACTGCACAGCATGGGTCAGATTTAGCTTGTTTCAAGAAAAAGAACAAGCACTGCAGGAAGCTGCTATGAACAAACCCTTGCTGTCCATAAAATGAAGCCTTCAGCTGGGCTGCAGCACCTGTAACTAGAGGGAAAGGCTCCCTCCAGCCTGCCACAGAGGTAAACCACATCTTCAGAAATCACTGTGCACAGGGAAAAAGGAAATGAAACGCAGAGCTGAGAATGTACCAGTGGAGGTGAAAGAGGCAGAGAAAAATTCCAAGGAATATTTACAGTATGATACCAAAACAACGGACAGGCTACTTTTCTTTCAATTTTTTCCATCCCGAGGTCTAAAAAGACACTAGAAATTCAGCCACTGTGCCTGGATAACTTTGAATGGGAGCTGAGACCATTTCCTAGGTAAACACTACTACCACTCCTCAGAGGAACTCTTTCAACACTTTTTCCACTGAGGATGAAAAAGCAGCAGCCTTTGCTGATGCTGGCCTAGCATAGCTGAAGTGGCAGCAGAAATCAGAAACACAAGAAGGAAGCAGTCCCCATCAGGGGTGCCTGACAGCAGTGCATGGCCCTTTCTTCACTTTGCCATGTTTCCAGGCAAGGGCCAGCATCAGTGAGGTAGGAGGGAGCCCTGCCTGCTCCCAAAGGACGTCCAGTGGTCCCATGCTGCATCCACCCGCCCACCTCTGCGTGTCATGGCCAGCACAACTCAGTGGGCACAGAGGTAGGGAGATGCAGACATGCCTGTTGGTCGCCTGCTTGCCACCAGCATGGCACAAGGTATGCAGCTGGCCCATCAATGCACAGCGGCCGAGGTGGCCAGAAGAGCCAAAAGCAAGAAAGGACGCAGGAGCAGCATGGAGGTACTGCAAGGGAGACACGTCCTCTGGGCCCTGCTCTCTGCTGGGCTTTTTGCTCTGCTCCCTCCACCAAAGTCCTCATGCTGTGGTCTGTCTCCTCCCCTGCGTCTTGTGTGCCCCATGGCACTTCAGCAAGCCAGGAGATATGTGATCCCAAAGCCAAGGGCTCAGGGATGTCCTCTTCAATGAGACAAAACGCAGCAGTGCTGCACTCTGGCAGAGCTGTCAGCAGAAAGGCAACCCCAAACAGACCTTGATGGTTGGTTTTGGGGGAAATCTGCATGGGTGGAAAGAGAAGGCAGTGAGAAGACCTGTAAAGAGGGGAGTGGCTGTTTTGCAGATGTATAGACACAGTTATTACAGAAACACCGTTTTCACAGTACTACAGAACTGCATCTATTACCAGCGTGGGTAAAAGGGTAGAATTTTATTTAAAGGTGATGGTGTAGGAATAAAATTTAGCTCCAGAGCTGTGTTAGCACTTTTAAAATCCGCATGTCTTGTCAGAGGGAGGGAGATTGTAGGTTAATGCGTAATATTATATCCCGCTTGTAATGAAATCTTCTCTGCTGTAATTATGCTAAGATTGACAAGCTCCCTAAATATGTGAATGCTTTAAAACATTCACCTTTCCTTTCTGTTTCAGCAAAGGAGAAATGGTATTACAACATAAAACGGAAACCAAACAGAAAGGAAGAGACTATTTCTGTATTGATAAAGGGCAAAGTACAATAATAGGAGTGAGACCAGTCTTGAATCAAATGCACCAGACACAATTACTAGGATTGTCTCTCTTCTGCTTTCTCTCCCAGGCTCCAGGAAAAAGAATCAATTAGCTCTCAGCAGACTATGACCTTGAAGGATACAGCTTTAAGGAGAATATGCTGAGTAAGACAGAAAAGAGAGGAGAAGAAGAGTAAAGGATTTGGAAACTCATGGAAGGGCTTGGTTCAGAAACAATACATCAGCCACAGAATATGAGATGTGTCAGTTCTTTTTTATTTCTGCACTGGAAAAAAAAAATCAGCAAAAAAGGCACTTTCTGGCAACAAGTTACCTTACTTTTCCTGAAATGGAAAAAAGGGCACTGAGAGGCAAAAAAAGGGACAATCCAATATGCAGATGCTACTTTCCAAGCCATCTCTCTGAGAATTTTATAGCTGTCAAAGGCATTCATAAAAAAAAAGTTATCAGTGATGCAATCTGTCAACCTCTCCAACAAATCTTGCTCTACATAAAATACAATGATGTGTTTGAAATGCAGCTGTTTCAAAAACCCCAAGACAGTGCTTTTAGAGCTGTCCAAAAAGTTATTTTCATGTCTCTTTGAATTCTTAGGCAGACCTTCTGCAGTGTACTTTTCCAGATATATTTTCTTATTTTTCTTTGCAGGGAATTGAAACCCTTTACCATAGTCAGAACTATGAGCCACAGCTAGAATAAATACCATCTACACAACCTTCCTCAGAGCAACTCAAATTTGACCTGCTGTCAGTTCTCTTTCTCCTTTCTGTCTGTATCTATCTGTAAGTCTGTGATGCTTTAAGACACACTTCAGAAAATTAAGGCAAAAGTGAAAAACCAAACTTAACCCAATCACCTAATTTCTGGACAACCATTTATTTCCCAGATATGTGCAGACCTGAATGCAGTTAATGGTTTTTTTGTCAGTGACTGCTCCAAAGAATCTCTTTTCATCTCTCCCTTCATTTACTTCAGAGATGAATTTAGCTGGTTGTTGATAAAGGCTTGCCTCCCATATGGAAATTTGAGAGGGTGAGGGTTGTCCTGGGATAAGTAGCTTTTGGTTGCTTCTCCCTCTCTCATGAAAGAGGTCATTTTGACTGGATGGTGGTCCCTGATCACTCTATGAAGTAAAAAGTGCTGTTATATCTTTAATGTCACTTACAATATTTGCGCAAAAAAAAAAAAAAAATCTGCATCAGCAATAAAAAACCCCCTCACTTAATACAGTTCTACATAACTGCAAAGGTGGTTAAGCGTCCAAATAATTCAAGTAATGTCTTACTTCCCACAGACAAAGCCCCCTGTCATTTAACTGCACAGCAATATTTCCCTATTAGACTGTTTCCATCAGACAGATTACTTTTAATCCAAAGGCTGGTTAGTACCCATTATCTAAGCAAAAGGCCGCAGGGCTGCTACAGGTATACTTAAAATTTTCTTGCAGTGGTTCTGGAATTGTTGTTCAGGACTGACTCTCAGCTGGAAGTGCCTCCACTGATCTCACTGTAGTTATGATCATTTTCATGGGCAAAGTGGTTGGCCCAACATGTTATATCTAATCCAACTGCCACCTGTCCTGAAATCTGGTGATTTCAGGGCTCCAGGATGAGGTCCAGTACATACCACCTACAAGGTGGCCATCCTGCAGCATTACAGGGAAGGCATGAGGGAGAATAAATGAGATGCGGTCCTGCAAGGTAATTTGCAAGGAACAAAGTTGGTCATTCTGATCACTGCAGCTTTCCAAAGCAAACCTCAGCCCTGTGCACGCAGCCTTCTCTTTTACTAGAGTTGCACAATTTTACATAGCTCAGGAACTGCTGGCTTGATTGCTCTGGATTTGATGGGATAAAATGATGAATGTCAAAGAAATTACACTTCAGCAATGCGGTATTTCGATGTTTTATGATTGCTACAGAGAAAATAATCCAGGCACCCTGGATATTTTTTGCTTTACAGATGAGCAAAAACTTACTTGGAAACGGACCCCTCCTGCATTGGCAAGAATGCTTTCCTGAAATGCCCCACAAAAGTCATTGAGGCAATGTCTGAGACACAGGTTCAACAAGAACCAGCTCCTGGAGGAGGGGAAAGATGCAGAGAAAAGTGTGCTATGCTCTAAAGAGAAAGGGAAAGATCATAAGCTAACTGCTAAATTAATAATTCCCAGTCTCTAACTGCTTCAAATACACTGTCGCTCTTCCACGCTGTTCCCTCTGACTGTTTCAGGAAGATGACAGGGATGTTTGCCAGCAACAGACTTGAGGAAGGAGGCAGCAGAAGTGCTCTGCAGGCAAGGCAAAGAAAATGAACACATATGGAAGAGCCAGCACAGGATGCAAATCAAATCCGTAAGAAAAATACGCTGATAGACCATGTGGAATAGTGATCAGAGAAGCCCCATAAGTAAATCATGTACTTTCCTGCAAATGGATGCAGAGAAAAGGGTGGTACCGGTGCTTTAGAAAGTCCTAAATGAAGCCCTCTTCATTGCCATGCACACCTCAGAACTAAGTTCAGAGGCCCCTAAGTGCTCTCCTCAGAAGGTAACCCACGCTATACCTGTCTTAGCACATTTAAGCTTTGCATGCCAATCACGTGTCCTCCTTGAGGACAGCTGCAGAACAGTGAAGTGCCTTTTTTTTTTTTTGGTGGAAGGGAAAATAAAGAAACACATAGCTTCTACTTACAAAGTTTTGGAGCAGCTTGGAGATTGGTTTCTGTTGCTTGCGCCTGAGATGCTGTGGTAGGCTCCAGGGCGGGTGGTGACAGCGAAGGTGCAGCAGAGGATAACAACCCAACATCTAGGATGCGGTTATACAGAGAAGGCTGGAGGAACGGTTTGGAGGGCACGAGCGAGCTGTCAGTTTGCACTGTCACGTCAGCCTTGCTCTCGGGGCTAGGTACGGGGAAGGGTGAGGTATACACCTCCGAAGGCACCCAGGCAGACAGAGCTGTAGGATCCACAGCGCTCTTTGGGTCTTGTCCTATCCTCCCAGGGTCAAGGTGAGTAGGAGAGTCATACTCAAAAATCTTGTCCACAAAGACCCACTTGAGGCCAGCAATGCAGAGGCAAAGGCTGAGCAGGCAAGCCAGGATAGGGGCGATGCAGATCTTTTCAGAGTTGAGGCAGCCCTTCAGTCGCTCTGCCTCCAGGCACACACAGCAGGTCGCGGCAAGGCCTGCTATCCCCTGGACCCTCCTGTCCTCTCTTTGGGTCCCCGGCATGTTCTCCTCAGCCGGGAGCCCGTCAAGGGACACATCAGGGCTCAGCTGACCTGAGGGGCTGGGGAAAGTGTCGGCAGCTACTTCAGACATGTTTAAGCATCAGCTCTCAAACAGCTCACCTCCAAAAGGCCTTAACTCTATCACAGTCCATTACTGTGAGACACAGACAAAAAGAGATGGTAGTAGTAACAGTCACAGCGCTCTGCAAAAATCACAGAGTGGGAGTCAACAAAAGGTCCGAGCTCAGCAACATCATCCAAACTGGGAGTGGAGTAACACAGAGGAAAAATGAGGATCCCCCCCATTCCCCCATGCCCTCGAGCCCTCTGTCACTCTCTCTGCCTCTCTGAAGCAAGAGCAGCTTTGCAGTTACTGAGCTCCTGTTTGCTGGCCACTTTTATAATTCCTTAAACACCTCTCAAGCAATTCCAGCTCTTCTGCAGGAGGGAAGAAACATCCTCCCAAAAGCAAGCACAAACAAAAACAAAACGGGGGGAGGAGGATGAGAGAAAAAGAAAACCACGGACACAGAACAAACTGAAGAATTAAGTGAACCAATAGCCCAAAGCAAAAGGCAAGACTCTCACCTTGAGCATCTGAGGCTGGTATCTGCTTAGACGAGGAAAACAATTGTCAAGCGGTAGAAGGAGCAAAAGCAAAATCTGTAACAACAGCGGCAGCGGCAGCAGTGACAGTAGCAGCAGCATCCTGTCGTGTTACAGCGGCGGCTGAAAGAGGCTGAATCATTACAGAGCAGCAGGTGCTCGCTGTCTGAGCATCACTGCAAACAGTATCATTACACAGAGGTTTGAAAGGAAAAGCGGTGCCAAGGCGGTGGTAACTCCCTTTCTCTCCCCTCCCTCTTTGTCCTTCTTGAGCGCTCATTCACTTTCCTCCTTCCCACCCCCCCCCGCC